CGGCAGCCAAGAGCGAAATCAGGAAGGGAGACAAGCTTGGGAGACAAGGCGGCAGCGGCAGCCAAAAGCGAAGTCATGAAGGGAGACAAGCTTGAGAAACAAGGCGGCAGCGGCAGCCAATTTCCGCAATCTGGAACCCATCCATTGAGAAGTAAGAACCCCTATAGCTTCCAGCTATCTGGGGAAAATTCTGGATGACTCGTGGACTTTTTGTATCGTTTTGTCAATGTGGTGACTTGACTCTGATGGGCTGATGGGCTGGGCTCATGGACTCTTTGACTTCACGCGGGCATGTTTGACTCAACACTCCCGCGACAAATTTGGGGGTGTAATTTCGATTTTGGCCGCCAGGGGTTATAATTCACATATCAGACATGTTCTGCGTCACCACGTGGTTCCCTGTTCTTCGCATTCGCATGTTTTGTTCCACATATCGTCGAGATGCAAAGGCGGCAGACGCGACCCGCACGGGGCCCGACGGAGGGATCTGGAGGATCAGAACTGGAGGGGGTAAATTGCATGGTTCTTCCCTAGAAACTACTGTAGGTCTCCACCAAATCATGACTGTTGAAGGTTGTGTACTGAAGTGACAAACATTCTGGGTATGTGTGGAGATTTGTGTTTGATATACCCTGATATGATATGGGAGTGTCTCGTTGCCGACAGATGTTCGGGACAACGGCCATTGAACAAGTATCAACAGTTGGAGCCATGAGCGGCCATGAACACCATTGCGCCATTTCATTTGTGAGATTTCATCTGTAGTTACGTTTCCTAAACATCTAGGAACCAAATGAATAGTGCGAGCGCTTCTTCAAGGAAGACCCCCCCGCCCTGAGGCGGGAGGAGCTTCCTTGAAGAAACGTGAGCTCCATACTCGTATATAACTTAAGTAAGGTACTACAGTAACTACCTTTTCTACTAGCTACCTCTAGCTAGCTACCTAGCTACTACCTCTACTCGGCCTGCCCCCATTTTAAAAAGGCGTTGCAGTTTTGACCGAGGAAACCTGACAAAGCTCCGCCCTTTGGCCCGAAGGCAGTGCTCGACGCATCGGACAAAGCTCCGGTATGGGGTGTACCTTAAAGAAATATGCCAGGGAAATCCAGGGTATACCCATGGATACCCTTACGTACATGTTGGAATATCTATATATAAAATGTAGTATAATTCCCCAATAGCCATGCTATGGGGTCTTGCAAAACTAATAGGCGGACGGGCGCCGTCGGGTCACCGTCAGAGCTGGTGGGCGGATGGTGTCTCGGTCATGTTTTGATGGCGTCCGGGTCATGTGATGCTGGTGTCCCGGTCATGTTTTGATGGTGTCCCGATCATGTTTTGATTGTGACCCAGTCATGTTGTGATGGTGTCCCGGTCCTGTTTTGATGGTGTCCCGGTCATGTTTTGATGGTGTCCTGGTCATGTTGTGATGGTGTCCCGGTCATGTTTTGAAGGTGTCCCGGTCATGTTGTGATGGTG